TGCCATGATCAAGTGACTAGCCAAAATATGTACTCAATTCTGGATTGCAAACTAGGGATGTTAAATTTCTATTAATCAGCTAAATTGAGTAGTAGTAGGGGGTACTTGCTATCCCGCTGTGCCTCTCCCTTTGAAATGTTTAAGAGCCACCCATGGCTCCTGTACATTTCCAAGGGAGAGGAGCAGCAGAGGACCAGTGAGAGCAGTTTCCTCACTGCCCTCTGCCTCTCCTGGAGAGACTGTGCTGGGGGGAAACCGGCTTTTAAGCCAACTTGTGCACCCTCCTTTGCTGCCTCTCTGATAGACGACAAAGGGGGGAGGGGAAGCAACTAGTTGAGTTCCTACTTGACTACCCGATAAGCGTTTGCTTATCGGGTAGTCGACTAGTTGTTTACATCCCAATTGCAAACCTTCGTCTGGTCAAAAGCATTACTAATCTCAAACCAGTCTGCAGACCCCTCTACGTCAGCTAAATCCCAGCAGGTTAGCTTGATCCAACAGGATATTTCTTAGTGAAACTAAATCAGCGGTCTCCAACCTTTGTAAGCACAAGATCACTTTTTGAATTTAAGTGCAATCCAGGATCCACCTCAAACCAAATACCCTTGGCCCATCTCCTTTGTGACCCTTTTCTGAGGCCCCACTCCGCTCACTCTTGTCCTCCCTCCCTTCCCCCATCCTTCCTCTCTTTCACCAGGCAGGGGCAGAGGGTTGGGGCACAGACTCTAGTCTTGGGCTAAGAGATCTGGAATGTAAGAGAGGCTCTAAGTGGAGCCTGCGGCAGGGGGTTGGGATGCAGGAGGGAGTTCATGACTGGGGCAGGGGTTCAGAGCTGGCTCCAGCTGGGCACTGCTTATCTCAGGTAGCCCCTGGGTGGTGGTGCAGAGGGGTTAAGCAGGCTCACCCCTACCCTGACTCTGCACCACTCCCAAAAGCAGCCAGCAAACTCCCTCCATCCCAAGCCCTGTTGTGCCCCCCTCCATTCTGTGGAGACAGAATACAGGATGGGAGAGGGGGCACCCTGACATCAGTGCCCCCCCTCCTCTCCCTTCCCTGGTCTGCACAGCAAGCAGAAGGTTCCTGGGGGGAAGCTCCAAGGCAAAGGGCAGGAGATGCACAGCAATGGAGGGAGGGGCAGTTGAAGTGCTGGCACTCGATAGCCTCTTGGCCAAACCAAACAGGATCACCCGTCAGGAGCTCCAAGATCTACCAGTAGATCCCCATCTACTGGCTGGGGACCACTGAACTAAATAGTGGCTATTTACTACCATTAAATATTTTGAATCCAGTCTTTTACATTGACCTTGGAAAGAAATAAAATTAGCAGGGTCTGATTTGTGCTTCATTTAGGGAGGGAATAACATGGGGCATTCTGTACCCACTCTATCCCTCAAAACATTGCCCACCCATGTAACTAACTGTGCTCTTTATTCCCACCAAGACTGACAAACACCATCAAGCACTCACTGCTCAGCAAGCTATTCAACTCTGACAGAATCAATCAACAACCGGCATTAAATACAGACAGATGGTTCTACCATTTCTGGTTACCTCAACACAAATAATGTGATCAACCTATGCAGATGTGCCAAGAGCTCCAGACTCACATTAGGGATGTTAAATATCGGTTAACTGAATAGTCGAGCAACTTCATGAAATTTTGATAGGTTAATAGACTATTCTACAGTCCCCAGGGGTGGGGTTGGCAGCCACTGTATCAGAGGCAGCAACCCGGGATGCCAGGTGGGAGCTGGCCCGCGAGGGAAGCCAATTTAAAAAACAGCTCCCTTGCAGAGCAGCTGCCTGTTGCCCTGTGCTGCTGCTTCTGAGAAAGAGGCAGCAGCCCAAGGTGGCAGCTGCCCCGTTTGGGTGGGGTTTGAGCTCCTGGACACGTGCAAGCCAGAACTGAGCTGGGCTGCCTGACCACCCGGCTCTTAATACACTTGAAATGCAGAGCCGCAGCAGGTGTAGGTCCTGGACCCGTCGCAAGCCAGGACTGAGCCAGACTGTTAACAAATTTACTGGCAAGGAGAGGGGAAGAGGGACACGCATGTAGTCCACAGCATTAACCTATAAGCTTTTGCTTATCAGGTAACTGACTATACTATTCCACCCCTAATTCACATTGTTCCTCAATTTTGCATCTTTTTCTTATCTGCTTGATTACAGCTCTCCTCTATCCTTTGTTGCCAGTTTGAATTCTAAACTGGACTCATCTCAAATTTCTACATCAGCAGACAAAGACCATTTCCTTAGTTGAACAGATTCTTTGTTTCCCCTCACACAAAACACCCCAGTTTCCCCACTAGCTTCTCTACATTAGAGGCCTCTAGTCCCTTCCTATAAGGCTATGGCATAGATGGGATTTTTGAAGAAGTCAGGCATGAAGCCCTGCTGGTCATCTTACTATTAACATTCCAAAATGATTTTACACATGCTTGGTTTCACACGCTGGTACTGACAGCACATAAACAGATGCAGGTTACACCTCTAAAATATGACACACTCTGGTCTAGCAGGGGCTGGTGGTGGGAAGTGCAGCTCCAGCAGTAGCAGGAAGCAGTATGGGGAGGGAACCACAGCCCTGCTGGTAGCACAGCCACAGCAGCAGTGGGACTGGCATTGTGCAGGAACACAGTCCCAGCTGGGCCGGCATGGTGGGAAGCATAGCTACGTCCAGGCCAGAGGCAGTAGGACTGGTGCCTAGGAGCACTGCCTGGGCCGACGGTGAGAGTGTAGCCCCAACCAGAGTCAGGGTGCTGGGAAGTGCAGCCCCAGCAGAGCTGGGGGCAGCAGGGAGGAACTTCCTTGGGCCAGAAAACTCAGTCGTTTGGGATAAGAATGTTAGCATATAGTTGTGTAAAAGGTTAATCTTAGTTTTATTGGTTAATCCTAACTACTACATGCACCTGCCCCCTCTTGCTGCCTCTGTATCAGAAGCAGTGGGGCAGTACCCATGAGGAGCTGGTTTTCAAGCCAACTGCTCACAAGTACCGGTGCCCATGAAGCCGCCCATCCACCCCACTCCCACCATGAAATAACTTTACACCTATGCTTGTAGCATCCAAACGCTAAACCTTATAGAACAAGAAACTTCATACAACCAGTTATGCAGATCCCCTTACCGTGCCAAATACATACCCATAGCAACAGACTCCAGAAAACTTCAAGATAAAGCACATTGCTAACAATCTCTTCCCTATACTCCTCTGGCAAAAAGGAGCAACTCACATAGATCAAATACTTCAATTCCCAAAAAGAAGCCTTGGGATATTCTCCTCCACACAAGCCAATGGTCTGTCCATAAGACAGCTGTAGCAGTTGTAAGTTAAATAGGTTTAAGCACTACTTTAGTTGACCTAGTGCAAAACTTTGTGTAAACACTCTGATCTTGTTTAAACAGGGCTTAGATTGGTTTAGCTTAAGTCAGTAATGAATAGAACTAAGCTAAGTCAAAAGAAACTACTCTTAACTGAATAAGTATCTAAACAAGGTCTCCTACCACTACCTAAATCAGTTTTTTAAAAATTCACTTTAAAACAAGGGTAATTTTCTATTCCCCCTTTGGACAGATTTACATTGAAACGGGCCATTTTTAACTAACATTTTAAAAACTAGACTATAAACAAGACAGGTTGTATTTTAGCACAGCAGCTAGTCATGATATACCTTAGGCTTGCCTCAACCATCTAAGTTGAGTTGAGGTGTTTCAAAAGTATTTTTGTCCTATGTACACTAAACTTCTAGTGTGAAAATGTGTTATTTAAACCCGCACACACCCCTTATCTCAATTTAAACATATCCTCTGAAGGAGACAGTTCTCATCTTCCCCATGGCCAGGAGCATCTGTCCTTAGAAGATGACTCTCAGGAATTCATTCATATCAACAGGATCTGGTGTTTCTGCTGTTTCATGCCCCTTTCTCTGACTTTCACTCTTAACCCATTCTCCTTAAAGCAGCTGCTACCAGTTCAGTGATGGGGGACAAAGCTGTCCCAGTTTGGACAGGGTGCTAGAAAAGAAAGTGGGTCAACATAGTTTAGGGTGTTCCATTATGAAACTGAATTTGGAAATACTGCCTAAAGCCTGAATGAATGACAGCCTTCGCCCAAATATGAAACATATTTTGGGTGGAGGGTTGCTTATGTTGTTAAAATAGTCACTGTCCTACCCAATTCTAAAGTATTTCACATTGAAGTTTGAATTTTTCTAAAGGCAATTTGCCCAGGAACCAGTTTGAGCATGTGTCTTGAAGTAACACTAACCACCACTATGGTGTGTTGAAAGGCTTATGTTTTCTTTGCACTATTTACATTGTATACTTTTTTTGCATTCCTTAGCTTGCCAATTTCACTTTCTGGTTTTCATTCACTAGTACAACACTGCAAATATTTGACTGAAAATACTAAAAGGTAACATTAATAATTTGATTTTAATTATTCAGGTTCTAAAACTTGCATTTTTCTCCTATCACAGTGACAAGCGTCACTACAAATATGAAAATATTTTAACTATAAAAAGCTAGCACGCACCAATGAGTCCCTGACAAGAGCACAGAGGATAAACTATTTTGCATAGAGGTTAATGACTGATTCAAGTTACTATAGCTGTATTTGACAGCCAAATCAGAACACCAATGTTTCACTTGTATGTTTATTGAAATAAAGTGTTCAGGATTGCATCTCACGACCAAGTGAAGGGGAAAATGGCAATTTAGCAAACCAGCTTCCTTTCCTTACTCCCTCAACCCTCACCCTTAAAATTACTTTTACTCTTAGCTTGAGGACTACTTACTTCACTTAATGGTTTCTTACATTATAAATAAAATAAAACTTCATCAGAAAGCATCTTCAACAAGAAACTATGAATTGTTACTTCTCAGACTCTCCACCACCAAAACATGTAAAATCTGGTCAATGTTTCATGTGAACACAAAGTACAAATGACTTTGTGACGTTAGAGCTTCCAGTTACAAGAAAAGACTATACAAAATATAGTACCTGCTGCTTCTAGCAAGGCTTCTAATCTTGCTTGTGTTTCTGGATCCACAGTTCTTAAATCGGCTCCTGCTGCAGCACTTGATAAGAATAACTCGGATGTTGTTTTAAGCACCGGATTATCCAGGTCTTCTTGGTCCAAAATAAATGATTCAACCTGTTTTAAAGTTAAAGTAAAAAAAACACACCATGAAACTACAAAAATACTATACATTATTTTCAAAAGAAATATCGTAGCATTTTATTTTAAACAGTTTTTTTTCTATCCAACTGTTTTGTTAGAAAATGAAATGGTACTAGAACTACAACACCATCAAGCGTAAGATTATGGAATTTAAAGTGTTTTGAAGACTCTATAGGTTAAAGGATTAATAAAGGAACAGAATTTTTCATCTCTAAATCACCTGATCAAATCTGGCCCAGATCAGCAGTGGTGTTTAACAACTGATTTTGCCATCTCAGTTGAAATCCTGAAACGGAGAGATGCCCTCATCAAAATCCACAGTTAGGCCTTTTGTACACTAAGAATTTTACAGATATAGCTATATCAGTATAGCTAAACCTGGCAAAATCCTCAGTATGTGGATGTAGACATAACTGAAGTGACAAGCTATGCTGGTCTAAATGCACCTTTCTAGGACGTATTTGCATAGCTTTGTTTGTTAAGAATGTACGATCACACCCTTAATGAACACAACGACACCAATAAAACATTAACTTAAGTGTAGATGAGGCTTTACGTTCCTGTTGTGGGCTACCTTGGGGAGGCAGAGGACTAGACAAGATGAAGACAGCCATCCTACAACTCTGTCAGTGGTTCTCAACTCACAGCCCAATCAGCACACAGCTGTGACTCATGTGAAATCCTCAGGACCACAGAGCAGAGTTGAATATGCAGCCCGCAAAGGTAAACAAGTTGAGAACCACTGTTATAGGTGATCTCTAGATATGATCTGAAGGTTCTCTATTAAGGTGAATGAGAGCTTTACAATGAAGTATGGCATTCAGACAGTAATAACTTCCTTATCTATTCATTACCCTATTGGTGCATTCCTACTGAATGAATGCTCATCTCAGCCCTCTTTTTCCTCCATTTTCTTCTAACTCCCAGTTCCTACACCCCATTCCATCTTTCTAAAATGATCAGTAGTTATAGTTACTGCTTACATTTACAGTGTCATTATGTAACATCCCACTAAGATTAATGAAGATGAGAAAATTCATCATTCAAAACCATTGTTTCAGACAATCTGCAGACTCTTACAAGAAAAGCGTAAGAGTACAACATAAGGGCTAGATTTTTTTTAAACTAAACTTTGTATTCTGCAGAATTGATGTGCCATTAACACCACTATTGGAATGGATGGATAAAATGTTGACACTACTGGACTTGACATGATCTTCTGTTAAAAATGGTGCAGTTTGGGTTTATATGGGGCTCAATATACAGCTCGCAGGTGGGATCCTTTGAACACGCTCTACAACGACGAGGCATCTCACAGGCGGGGTGAGCACTGAAAGATGCACGTGGGTGGGCGGGCTGGAACAAACGGGTACAGGGTGTCAGCATTTCTAGCCCCAAGGGAGAAGGTGCCAGGAGCACCGGGGCATTGTGGGAAGTGCTTTGTATTCACACCCATCAGTATGAAAGCTATTTGCATATATATTTGCATGTATATGCAACCACACTTGGTTGTGGCCCTCGGCATGTGCTGAGGGTATCATTGTGGCCCCAGGACTTCCAAAGTTGAGTAGCCCTGCTGTAGTTGCTCCGCTCAGGGGAGATTCAAATGCCACCCATGAGCAGTTGCCCAAGCACCCAGCTTACAGGGAACTAATACAGTTCTAATACAGATCAGAACTAATACAGTTACACTACTAGTATTGAGAAAATAATACTATTGTGAGAAAGAGAGTTGAGAGGTAAAGTAGTAAGAGCTTAGTGACTAGAACCAGTGATATACATCACGGTGAATGAAATAAACAAGCAATTTATGACTCCAAAATATACTCCTACACTAAGATTTTTGTGCAACAACTCCAATTCCACATTATATTCACTTAAGGACTCTGGTTAACAGCTCTCTTAGCCTGAGGGAATCTTCTTTACACTTACAGAGAATACTCCTGTTTAGCACACTTCATTACAAAAATAATTATGCCTTGGACAGGGGACTTGTATCAATCAGCTTGCATCAAGAATAAGTATTGTTCAACTGTCCCTGTAACTTGTAGGAAGAAATCCATAATTTGTGCAAAACAAGCAACTGTACAACAAAAACAATATATTTAACTCACTTCAGTGACCCTGCATGGCATTTTGTGCCTACTCAGTAAGCCTTGAAACGACCTCTGTATTTTTTGGCAAGTTTGCTCAGTCTTAAATAGGCTGACAATGTTTTGGGCAGAGACAGGTAGGTCAAACTGATTTTTATCCACCCTGGAGACAATTTATAATTTGAAAAAAATAAAAATCGGATTTTTAAAATTTAATTTTTTTCTAAATATTAAATTTCTCATTTAAAAATTAGTTCAATTACATCTTATCACCTAGATGTTACCTATACACTTAGTACCATAAAAATGAATTAATGGCTCTAGTCTGCCCAGCCTAACAACCAGCTTGTTTCTTGAAAGTTCTAGGTCTTCAATTTCTGTTTCTTATCATACTAACATGTGCAAAGACAGAGATAGGTTGTACATAGGATTGGTTTTCTTCTGTGCTTATATAGTGCTGGACCTGGGCCAAGCACAGAAGATTTAGTTAAGATATTGTCTAACGACAAGAGACATAATATAAAGGAAAGGATGGAGGCAGTATAGAAATAAAACGGTGGAGTGGACTAGACAGAAAAAGGGAAGACATTTGGTGTGCGCGCGCACACACACACACACACACACACACACACACACACAGCTTCCTATAGTCCCCTACTCTTCCGCCATAGAAAAACTTCCATGGCTTCTGGAGGTAAGAGAAACACTATCTTGGAGTATTCTGAAGAAATGTGTTGCTTATTAGGAGACAATGATGTGGAAGATTATGTAGATGTGTCTGAAGAACGTTAATCAACTTTGCACTGTATCATTCCTCAAGAATAAGCGTGATTTAACAAGTCAATTCCCAAGCTGTTTGCTAGAAAAAGTTTAGTTTAGCTAATCCTTTTGGGTTGTTTAATTAGTTACTAAGTTTAGAATCTATTGCCCAAGTATAGAGTACAGAAAGCAGCAGTTAGTGAAGTCTAGAATTACCAGTCAATATTCCCTCTAATTTATTCCACCCATGTATGGAAGAAATGGTGTGTGCCAAAGCATGTGCGGATGTGTACCACCAACAGAAACAAGCTGCCGGCTGTGGGTGCTCTGTTCATCAGCTGGGCAGTACCTGAATCTGTTCTGGGCAGCCATCCAACAGCTCAGCTTTCAAGGAACACCTCTTCTTTTGGAAGATCATTCTGAGATGCATTAACAGGAGTGTTGTAAAAGCAAGACACAAGAAGTCATTCTGCTGTACTCTGCACAGAGTAAACCCCAAATTGAGTATCATGTCTAGTTCTGGGCACCACATTTCAAGAAAGATGTGAACACACTGGAGAAGGTCCAGAGAAGAGCAAAAAAATGATTAAAGGTCTTGAAAGCATGATCAATAAACGAAACTGGGGTGGGTTTTTTTAGTTTGGGGGGGGGGGGAAGAGAAAGAGGGGACATAATAGCAGCTTTCAAGAACCTAAAAGGATGTTACATGGGAGGGAAAAAATTTATTATTCTTAACCACTAAGGAAAGGACAAAAAACAATGGGCTTAAATTGCAGCATGGGAGGTTTAGGTTGAACATAAGGAAAAACTTTGACAGGGTGTTTAAACACTGGAATAAACTGCCTAGGGATGTTGGGGAAATCTCCATCACTGGAGATATTTAACAGCAAGTTAGGTAAATATCAGGGATGATCTAAGAGCTTGGTCCTGCTGTGAGGACAGGGGCCCGGACTTGATGACCTCTTGAGGTCCCATTCAGTTCACCATTCTAGAATCACAGAATACTAGAAGTCGTAAGTCTATTTCCTATTTTACTTGAGCATTACTTAGAGTTCCCAAAGGAACCCCATTCTCTACTTAATTATGGAATAAGCCCCATTGAAAACAAATGCACGCAAAGAACAGTCAGTTAACATCCAGCAATTAAAATCATAGCTGCTTTCACAGGGAGTGGAGTGTGCTGGGGGAAAAAAAAAATCTGATTGTGAAAAATGGGGGGGGAGGTAGAGGGAGTGTTGCTGTGAAGAGTTCTGGAGGGAGGCAGTAAGTTCTATTCGCTCTGCATCTTGATAAGACACTCCAGCATTTCATTTGTGTCTTCCATAAGCTTTAGCATGTGCTCAGTGGATTCTGTTCTGACTTGCATCTCCCGTAGCTCTTCTTAGCTTCCTTTTTCTCTATTTAAAGCACTGAATGCCGCAAGACATCCCTGAAGGTTAACAGGCAACATTACATCGACTTAAGACACCACAGTAACTAAAGCAACGGTTTATATCCACAAGTGCTTCTTCAGTCAATGGTGCATGTCCTCACCAGGAGCACTTCCACAGATTAAAATGAGGCATTGTGGGACACTGACAGCTGGAGCCGGGCAGCCAGTCCCAGGACTCACACCAAGCCCAGCCATAGCTCAACAGCATGAAGACTCCACCTCCACAGCACAACAGGGAGCACACCATCAGCTAAACTATCATTCTTGTCAGTTTCATGGCTGCTATTCAATATTTCAGATCCAACTCCTGGCTGTGAGCCCTTGGGGCAGAGTTGGAATGGGTTCCAGCTATGAGATTCACACAGGCTGACAGCTGGAGTCAGATGTGAAACAGAAATAGCAGCCATGAAACTGACAAGAACGTTAGTTTCAGTGATGGTAGGCTCCCTGTTAAAGTAAGCCCCCGGCAAGCTCATACCTGAGGCTGTCAGCCCCTGGGCAGGGAGGGGACTTGAGAGTTTTGGGAGAAGGAAAGCCCAAGCAATAACAGGAGGGAGGGAAGGCTCAGCTTGTGAACTCAGGCTGTCAGCACTAGCATCAGAGGAAGGTTCCATCCAAGAGAAGTAACAGTGGCTACACAGACACCGCATCACCCTAACTACACCGACATACTAACTTCACCTCCCAACAGGTTTAGTCCCTATGTTTGTGTAGTTGGCCACTTACAGTGGCAAAGCAGCATTGTAGTGTAGTCAAGGACATAATTAGGTCAACGTAAGCTATTTTACGTAGTCCTAACTCTAGTGTAGATGAATCTCATTCTTATTTGCCAAAAGAAGGGCCTGCAACAGGACTCCTCCTGGTTTTTACCAATGGCAATACTTGTTCTTTACTAATCCCCCAGCAGCAGGCAGAGAGCCACTTCAGCCCCCACCACATAACTGATTAAACATTCATATCCCTAGTGCAACATGGAAACTGCTTGTCACACAACTTGAGAGGACAAAGACCACTACCTAGATCATTATATTAATTTGAAGTTGAACACAATTCAGTGCCTATTCTAAGAAGCGTTTAAAAAAGCATACCTATATTAAAGAGGGCTGAACAAAGAAGTTGCTGCCACAATGTAAAAAAAATGTGCACCCTAGATTGAGGCTATGATCTATCATTCAAAATAATTTCTTATATATGCACTTATAAATTTGCTTCTCTTGGGACAGCATTGAAAAACCCTACACCAGGCATACCCTTTAAGTATGAAAATTTTAAAAATACAGATTACAAACGTGGTTTCCAGGGTTCCTGGGTGTTACTGAAGACAAGTTATGCAAAATTTTACCACCAAAAATTGGCTACATAACATTGGGGACACAGCTGCTAGAGTCAATGAACAGGTATTTTTCTCCAACAGTGGTAGGGACAGAAAAATCTAAGTTGACACGATTATATTAACTCAAACTAGATTTATGTATTTAATCAACCATCAAACTGAAGTTAAGGATCAAACAGGTGCACTTTTTAACTTTTTAAATACAAATTAAGTTTGTTCAAACTAGATTGAGCCCTTAAGCACCTGAAAGTTAATATGGCACTAGCAAAATTTGGGCTCTCTGATTTAACCCAATCAGAAGTGTAGTGAAATGACAGTAACTAGTCACTGTACTATTTTTGGACTACTTTGTGAGTTACTTTGGGTAGCTAATAAGCATCTTATTTGGTAGCCCATTAGATATAGATGTGAAAGTGCTTATTTAAAATATAGCTGCTCAATAAAATTGCAACATCCATTGTAAAGGTTCAGCAATTCCCAGGCAACAAAAACTCAGGATGTGGCAAACCACTACTACTGGACAACAAGCAACTGGTCACAAGGACATGAGCAGGGATATTAAAACACTGGCACACTTAGCATTGTTCTGTCTTCGCTGAAGTACTGCCAAAGGATTGGAGCAGCTGATAGGTTTACAGATCCAATTACAAACAAACTCATCTCTTATAGCAGATGCATTCACAAATATTTGTTTCAACTATATAGATATTCATAAGTCAGTAACAAGATTGGGTTTATTTCAGGTCAGGGGTGTGTGTTACTAATCAACAACATGGGCTTTAAACCCAAGACAGCTTTAAAAGAGCAATACTAGCTTGCTTTAAAAGGCAATTAACTAAGGGACAGAAACAAACAGACTAAAGCCAAGTCTACACTAAACTTTTGCTGGTATATTTATATTAGTCAGGAGCTGTGGGAGGGGAAGATTTCACACACAATTTCAGCAAAAGCCTGAGGATAGACACAGTTATACTGGCAAGAGTACTTTTGCTAGCATAGCTTATTTTGCTAAGGGAAAGCAATCTAACTAAACTAGCAAATGAACTCTTAGCTATACAGCAAAACTACGGTTAGATTAGACTAACAGATAGATATGGGAGAGAAAACTGACCCCTAGAAACAGCACCTTTACAACAAGAATTCACAAGTGATGCATGCCTTGTATTGGAAAGGGGACTCTGGTGTCTTTTCAGATGGCATAAACCTTTCACCTTTTACTCTTTAAGAGTATAAGAATGGCCATACTGAGTGAAACCAAAGGTCTATCTAGCCCAGTATTCTGTCTTCTGATGGTGGCCAATGCCAGCTGCCCCAGAGGAAATGAACAGAACATGTAATCATCAAGTGATCCATTCCCTGTCTATTCCTAAATACTGGCAAACAGAAGCTAGAGAAACTATCCTTGTCCATCCTGGCTAGCCATTGATTAACCTATTCTTCATGAAGTTATGTAGTTCTTTTTTGAATCCTGTTATAGTCTTGGCCTCCCCAACTTCCTCTGACAGGGAGTTCCACACGGTAACTGCACATTGTACAAAAAAGAACACTTCCTTTTGTTTGTTTTAAAACTGCTATCTATTAATTTAATTTGGTAACCCTTTGTTCTTGTTTTAAGAAAAAAAAATTTCTCCACACCAGTCATTATTTTATAGACCTCTATCATGTCATCTTTTTCCAAATTGAGAAATCCCAGTCTTATTAATGTCTCCTCATATGGCAACTAGTCCGTAAGCATAATCAAGTTTGTTGCCCTTATCTGAACCTTTTAAAGTTCCAATATACGTTTTTTGAGATAGGGCAACAACATCTGCATACAGTATTCAAGATGTGGGCATATCATGGATTCATACACAATGAGTCTTCCATATACACCCCCAAAAAACTGAACTTATATGGGCAGGGATTATTTTCATATTGTGTGTTTGTATAGCACCAAGCATAATAGGGTCCTTGTCAATGACTGAGGCTCTTAGTCACAAAATTATTCTCAATCTTTGCTATCTTGTACATAAAACTGAAGTACATGAAGAAACGTCACTGTACAATTTGAATTATTTGTATTTCATAAAGAATCCAATAAATTATGCAAAGTTAAGCCCACTGGACAGCAACTAATTTTTATTCTGTTCAGAAGTTTAATTTACCAAGTTTCTTTTTAAACAGTATTTTTGAAATAGTGTTGCAAATATTTGTAAGAATTACCACCACCAATATTTCTTCTCTAGAAAGGATTGGTTGAATTAAAGTGCATAGTTGGAGAGTAGCTGCTGTGACTACATACGTGAACTAGACATGAATTACTGCACCATAAATACAGAGGCTCACAGTTCTCAAGGCTTCATTTTGTTACATTATGGGTGAGGCTTACCAGTTAACCATTGACAATCCCTAGTCCAAAGGGAACCGAATTAAGGGATAAAGTAGTTCAGGGGAGATGGTAGTTTTTCATGGGGCAAAATTAAAGGCATAACTACAAATTATCCCAATTTGTTGGAAAGATAATAAGAGGCCAATATGGCACCACCAGGAACTCCTTAATGGCCTGAAAAATTGAAAAAGAATCCTACAAATTATGGAAACATGGACTAATTGCTAAGGAGGAGCACAAGAGAATAGCTCAAGAATGTGGGGACAACAGAAAGGCTAAGCACAA